AATATCGAGGAATGATTGGATCATTACTATACCTCACTGCAAGCCGACCAGATATATCTTACTCAGTGGGAGTATGCGCTAGGTTCCAATCAAAGCCAAAAGAAAGTCATTTTCTTGCCACCAAGAAAATCATTCGATACCTAAAAGGAACAATCAATGTGGGATTATGGTATCCCAAAGAAGGTAATTTTACACTAACTGGGTTTTCAGATGCAGATTTTGCAGGGTGTAAAATCGATCGAAAAAGTACCTCAGGGACATGTCAGTTCTTAGGGGGAAGATTGGTATCATGGTTTAGCAAAAAGCAAAACTCCATAGCCACAAGCACAACCGAAGCTGAATATATGGTTGCTGGGAGTTATTGCGCACAAATTCTTTGGATGAAACAACAACTAAGAGATTATGGTGTGAATTGCAAAAATGTCTAACATATTTTGTGACAATACAAGTGCTATAGTAATAACACATAATCCCGTGCTACATTCAAGAACAAAGCACATTATTGTGAGGCATCATTTTATCCGAGATCATGTTGAAAAGAAGGAACTGACAATAGAATACATTCCAACGAAAAATCAAACAGCTGACATTCTCACAAAACCTCTGTGTGAATCAAGATTTTCTAAATTGAGACACGAGATGGGCATGATTGAACTGAGCTAAGTTCCTAAACTCTATTTAAATTAAGAGCTCAATTTTCATCTGTAAATATTTTATTTTATCTGATTTAAGTGACTTATTTAAGTGACTTATTTTCGTGCCTATGTGTCCTACATGCAAAAATGTGTCACTTCCTAGTATTCAAATCTACCTATCTTAAATGCACATTAAAATAAAGTGTCTATTGTGCATGCCTCTTCAACCGTGTGTGTGTGTGTGTGTGTGTATATACATACATACATATATATATATATATATATATATATATATATATATATATATATATATATATATATATATATATATATATATATATATATATGTAACACCCCCCCCCCCAAAACAAGGCTACTTAAAACGAGTCTTAATACCTGCAGATCAAGCACAAAACTAGCACAGCGGAAGATAAAAAGATAACTGGATAAAAAGGAATCCAAAACGGGGTGTTATGCCACGTATACCACACTAGGTATACGCTACGGCGACAATCTGCAAGTGTAACACTATCCCAAAAACAACCAAACTAGAACAATCTAAAGACATTGGCACACAAGCCTCAACAACACTGTCTAAAGATACAGGTGCTAAGCTACCGGCACTAGACATCGCGCTCGACTACGCACCACCTGAAAGATACAAAGATAAACATCGGGGCGACGCCCGGTCAGCGAAAGATGCTGGTAACCCACCAATACCATTAAGTATCATAAATAGGTAGATATATAATATGAAAACCATTTTCGAAACGGAATACATATATATAAGTCAAAACCAAGATCAAAAGACAACACAAGACTCACCACTAACAAGGACAAAACCGGGAACACATCCCAAACCACAAAGGTTAAACACACACAAGGATAAAGACTCACCCAACGGCAACACATGCCAAAACACCACACCACAAGCCTCCGTGACTACACACGTCACGAGAGAAGAGAACTCACCACAACAACGGCTTCACAAGCCCTCGTGACATCACCCATCACGAGTTGATATGCCTTCCTTATGCCCTGTTCCAACCTTATGGCTACCCCCAACCTTGTACCTTCGGTGCCAACCATTACCTCCAGAAAGCCCCTGTACAGCCAAGTCCAACCTTATTCCTCCGGGACCGTCGTCCCCCACCTATAACCACCAACGAAAACCCACCAATTCACGGCAACACATGCCCGGATAACACAATGTTATCCCCCAAACACGTGGACTCAGCCACAACTCCATGAAATCACGTCACGGCCACCACGAGGACCGCTGCAATACCTTGGTGACTAGCGTCCCATACCACTAATCGTGCAATCCAGGTAAAGCCACACATGCACCACCACTCACACGAAACAAGCAACGGATTGCAAAAGAGGTACGAAACATACTCAAATAAGAGACAGGTCACCACCCATCGACAACAACGATGCTAGCATTAGGATAATAACTAGCAAGCTCAACAACGAGGAAACTCAAGATAGTTCCGAGGAACACACAAGACACCACACGGTTCAACGAAACACTGTGTTGAACACTTAGCACGATACACAACACCAAAGATCCTACATGGATACCTACCATAAAGCTCTAGACCTACGAAACATCAAGAAGACGCTCAAATAGTTCCACAAAAGAACAACGGAAGGCCAAAAGATCAAAGACCAAGACAAACGAAACACGGGGAACAAATACCACTCCAACATCACTGTGTTCCCCGCGGGTGGACCCACGGGTAGTGCCCCAACCGTGGTCCCGCCCGCGGGTACAACACCCACAAGGCATACGTTCCCGCGGGTAGGCCGGCGGGTGGTGCCCCGCCCGCCGTTCCGCCCGCGGGTACGTCCCTGTACCACAACAAATCCCTTCGGGGATTTTCTCCTCCAAACACAAATTCAAGTCCAAAACATGCCAAATCTCACCAAGCACAACAAAATGACTTGAACCAAGGAAAATGCCAAGCAATGGCACAAAGGAAACCTAAACACAAGCTCTAGATATGCAATATCACAAGATAAATGCATAAACTCTCACATTTCATAGCAAAACACATGTAGAAGCCAAGAAATCATATATAGGTAAGTAAAATAGGTTTTGTAGAGCATGGGTTACCTCTTGAAGACCAAAAGACTCTTCTTACACCACAACAAGCTCTCCACTAAGCTCACTAGCCAAACCCACTTCAAGATCAAACCAAAAGATCATAAAGATCCAACCTTTAAGAAAAAGACAACTAAGATGGAACCAAAAAGACTAGACAAGCTTTTAGATCTTACCCTTCTAGATGCCAAAATAGAGGAAAGATTGAATCTTGGAAGCAAAACTTGGAATCTTGACAAAGGCTTCTTTTGGCTTGAAGATCAAGCTACTCTTGTTTTCTAGAGAGAAGGTAGAGATATTTTCTAGGAAATGTAAGGGAATGAAATGAAGAAGTCTTCTAGGTTTAGGTTACAAAACTAGCTCTTGGTGAAAAGACAAGGATACCCTTACTAACTCTTAGAAAGTGTAAGGAACAAGGGAACTCCTCTCAAAGCACAAGGTACAATACCACTTAAAGATTGACTAGTCAAATACTAGTCCTTGAGTATCAAAATCAGGATTTTAGGAATCAATTCCTCAAAAGAAATAGAATTAATTACTCAATTAATTCATGGTTTGGAGTTTGGATTTTTGGGGTGTCACATCCTCTCCCCCTTCAAAGAAGTTTCGTCCCCGAAACTTGGGTACAACGAATTAAGAACGAAAGGTAACAAGGAAACACAATTGTGACAAGAAGTCCAAGAATATCCCTTTTGGTCAAAAACTCCAAAAGTTCTCACAAAGTTCCAAGGCAAAGAGAAAGACATTACGAATTCAATGATAGGCAAGGGGTCAACAAACGGATAGATTGGCATCAAGAACTCTAACCTCAACACAACAACCAACTTTTAGACAACAACCAAGGACTAAACTACTAACCCAAACACCAACTAACACACTAGCTAAACAACAAGGCAACAAACAAAGCAAGCAAGCACACAAAGCACACAACAACCAAACACCAAGCTACAAAGGCTAAGAAGCAACAAAGAAAGAAACGAACAGGGTTACCACAACACAACTAGAACTCTTCACTCTCTGACTCTTCGGCCTCTTCAGACTCTTCTTCTTCGGCTTCAACTCTGTGACTAGAACTAGCTTCAAACCGATCCAGTCTCTGATGCACTGCGGCAAACTGCGACCTCACAAACGCAAAACCCTCGGCGATCAAACTGTTCTGCTGACGAAGCAAAGAGGCGACATCCTGCCCTCTCTTGGTGCGAACTTCTTCCCTTCTACGACGTTCCTCACTGTCTGATTCACTTACTTCAGCGGTCTCCGGTGCTCCTTCTTCTTCTTCCTGATCCGCTTCTTCCTCAACTTCTTCGTCACCACCCAAACTCTGAACTGCAAGGCTCAACTTCCCGGCATGAATCTCTCGCTCAGCAGCTAACTCTGCTCTCTCAACAGGTGCTTTCCTAGCAACCTCTTCAAGCGTGATGTACTCACCACTATCCAACTGAAAAAGATTACAACTCCGGAGATTGGCGGTATCCAACACCATCTTTCCCACAGCCTTCGAGGGACAACCATCCACACTAACACCTTTCTTAACCAAGATCCAACTTAACACCATTCCATACGGCAAACTCTTCTGATTGTGATCCCGGCAAAACACCATGTGTTGCATCATCAAAGCAGGCAGATTGAACTTAACCATATTCTTCAAACAGAAAGCAAAGGTACACTCCAACTTACCCAACAAACTGCTCTTGTTGTTGTTAGGCAACAAACAATCTGACACCAACATAACCAAGATCCTTTGTTCCGCAGACAACCACTTCTTTTCCGGCCTCGAAGCTTGAGTGAAACCACTCGTACGGCCAAACAGATAACTCAAATAGTCACGGTACCCCATGGTATCCGTACTAATCCAAGAATGACCACTGTACTGTGCCACTCCAGAAGCAGACAAACTCAACAACTGGGCTAACCTCTTCTCAGACAACACAACCTTCACACCTCTCACCTTAGAGGTGATCTCAAGCCTTTCACCTTCCTTCGTCACAACCATGTGACGGTAAAACTCTTTCACCAAACTCGGGTAAGTCTCGGCCCTTATGGCGAGAAAACCATCCAACAAACCTTGAAACTTAAGCAAATCCAACAAGGAACTTGAAAAAGATTCCGGATCAAAAGCTTTACCTTCAAGCACAAGGTAGTGGGCATCCACCCATTCCGCTTTTCTAGCCAAACTTGACCTTCTAGGCATGGTGAAAGATGATCCAAACAAAGCCCACAACTTCTTCTTCTTCTTCTTCTACACTCTCGCGGCTCTCTCTCTCTCTCTCTCGGCTGCTCGGCGACATGGCACAGCAGACGGCGGCGGCAACGGGACGGCGAACTCCGGCGACGAGGCGGCGGCGAACGGCGACGGGCAGGTGGCGCTGGGCGACGGGGTGGGGTGGCTTCGGGTAGCTCACGGGTAGGGAGAAGGAAAAAGAGATGAAGAGAATTTGGGGAAAGAAATTAGGGATTTGGGTGAGATTGGGGAAAAAGAGGATTAAATTTGGGGATTTTGAACAAAGTGGGATTTAAGGTTTAGAAAGAATTAAAATTGGTTATGTTTCAAGAAAGATAATTGGCTTAAGTGGTTTAGAGGTTGGGTGGAAAGAAATTGGCTAAGGTTCGAAACTCAAAGGCTATAAAGAAACATTAGGCTCAATTTTTAGGCTACACAAGAAAAGATTTTGGTAGGGATTGGCTATTTTTCCAAATCAAAGAATACTTGGAAAATTTAGGGAAAAGCTCAAGGAATTGGTGTAAGAACAACCAAGTCCAAGGGTGAAAGAATTGGGTTAAGCACAAGGTAACTCAAGGATAGATGGCTACCACAAACAAGATGCCAACTAAAGAAAACACTTAGCAAGAAAAGAGTCTATACTAAGCACCTCAACGAAAAACAAGCAAGGGAAACAAGCCAAGGATTGCCAAACAAAGACAACTGCGAAACACAAGATAACACCCAAGGCAATAAAGGACACAAAGACAACTACGAAACACAAGATAACACCGAAGGCAACAAAGAACACAAAGCTCTCGGGGACACAAGGATAGGCTCAAAACAAGGGTTACCTGCTAGCTCCTCCTCCACCAGACCCTCCGACTCCGCCTGCGAACGCGCCATCACAAAAACTCTCCCCGACGGCCTAGCTCCAACAGCTCCACGACTCGAACTCACTCCTGATGCTCCTTCGGCTCCCAGGGGTGGCGGCAACACTCTCTGACCAACAAGCTGAGGACACTCCGCAACTCTATGACCAACAACCCCACAGCGAAAACACTTAAACGCCTGGCCAGAGCAAACTTGACCCGGATGCACCTTCCCACACTTGCGACAACCAACCGACTTAGCTTGAACCGGAGGCTCCATCCTAACTGGTCCTTGAAACGAAGATGACACAACTCTAGCCGGAAAACTCGGTCGGGGCTTCTTGAAAGCAAAAGAACCACCACTCTCAACTCTCTTCCTAGCCAACTCAAGCGAACTCTTCTGAAGCTGCTGAACACGAAACAGATCCACGGCACACAGATACGCATCCTTGAGGGAACTAGGTCTACTCACCGTCAACGCTTTTCGTGCCTCATAATTCATACCGGCAACGAAACGCTCAACTTTGGCAAGCTCTGTAGGCACCAACACCCTCGCGAAGCGCGCCAACTCTAGGAACTTCTTGTGGTACTCCACCACAGATAGGGGTCCTTGCTGCAGATGAAGGAACTCATCAAACATGGCGGCTCGCACATGCGCTGGGTAGAACCTTTCGCGCATCCTGTCCTTGAGCACGGTCCAATCAAACCCAGGCTCTTCAAGAAAGGCCGGACTCTCGTGAACCCACCACAGATCAGCTTCTTGGCAGAAGTAGAACGTTGCCAGTTCTACTCTCCTCTCTTCGGGACAACCCACCACGGTAAAGATCTTATCAAACACCCGTAGCCACTCTTCAAGGACTACAGGGTCTTCTTCACCAGCAAAGGAAGGCGGCCGATGCCCAGACACAAGGCGACCCACATCACGGTGCCCAACAGGAGGCAGAGGCGGCACAGCTTGATTGTTGTTCAACAGAGCTTCACTGAGAGACTGCATCATCTGCGTCAACTGATGGAGATTCTGGGCGAGCTGCTCGTTGGTCGGGGTCTCTGGGGAGCGGGCGCGAGGACGAGGAGGCATCGCACTTCTGCTACAACAACAAGGTTACCACAAAAAAAACAAGCAAGCAAGCAAGACAGAAAACAACACACATCTCACCGTGCAACCTAGAGTCCTAAGCCTAACACTTAACTCCTTAAGGTCGCTTAGAGGTCTCAAAACACACTTAAACACTTAGAAAGTCTAGACTCAACTCCTCCTAGGCTCTAAACCAAGGTTCAAACCTAGGCTCTGATACCAACTGTAACACCCCCCCCCCCCCCCCCCCCCAAAACAAGACTACTTAAAACGAGTCTTAACACCTGCAAATCAAGCACAAAACTAGCACGGCGGAAGATAAAAAGATAACTGGATAAAAAGGAATCCAAAATGGGGTGTTATGCCACGTATACCACACTAGGTATACGCTACGGCGACAATCTGCAAGTGTAACACTATCCCAAAAACAACCAAACTAGAACAATCTAAAGACATTGGCACACAGGCCTCAACAACACTGTCTAAAGATACAGGTGCTAAGCTACCGGCTCTAGACATCGCGCTCGACTACGCACCACCTGAAAGATACAAAGATAAACATCGGGGCGACGCCCGGTCAACGAAAGATGCTAGTAACCCACCAATACCGTTAAGTATCATAAATAGGTAGATATATAATATGAAAACCATTTTCGAAACGGAATACATATTTATAAGTCAAAACCAAGATCAAAAGACAACACAAGACTCACCACTAGCAAGGACAAAACTGGGAACACATCCCAAACCACAAAGGTTAACCACACACAAGGATAAAGAGCAACGGCAACACATGCCAAAACACCACACCACAAGCCTCCGTGACTACACACGTCACGAGAGAAGAGAACTCACCACAACAACGGCTTCACAAGCCCTCGTGACATCACCCATCACGAGTTGATATGCCTTCCTTATGCCCTGTTCCAACCTTATGGCTACCCCCAACCTTGTACCTTCGGTGCCAACCATTACCTCCAGAAAGCCCCTGTACAGCCAAGTCCAACCTTATTCCTCCGGGACCGTCGTCCCCCACCTATAACCACCAACGAAAACCCACCAATTCACGGCAACACATGCCCGGATAACACAATGTTATCCCCCAAACACGTGGACTCAGCCACAACTCCATGAAATCACGTCACGGCCACCACGAGGACCGCTGCAATACCTTGGTGACTAGCGTCCCATACCACTAATCGTGCAATCCAGGTAAAGCCACACATGCACCACCACTCACGCGAAACAAGCAACGGATTGCAAAAGAGGTACGAAACATACTCAAATAAGAGACAGGTCACCACCCATCGACAACAACGATGCTAGCATTAGGATAATAACTAGCAAGCTCAACAACGAGGAAACTCAAGATAGTTCCGAGGAACACACAAGACACCACACGGTTCAACGAAACACTGTGTTGAACACTTAGCACGATACACAACACCAAAGATCCTACATGGATACCTACCATAAAGCTCTAGACCTACGAAACATCAAGAAGACGCTCAAATAGTTCCACAAAAGAACAACGGAAGGCCAAAAGATCAAAGACCAAGACAAACGAAACACGGGGAACAAATCCCACTCCAACATCACTGTGTTCCCCGCGGGTGGACCCACGGGTAGTGCCCCACCCGTGGTCCCGCCCGCGGGTACAACACCCACAAGGCATACGTTCCCGCGGGTAGGCCGGCGGGTGGTGCCCCGCCCGCCGTTCCGCCCGCGGGTACGTCCCTGTACCACAACAAATCCCTTCGGGGATTTTCTCCTCCAAACACAAATTCAAGTCCAAAACATGCCAAATCTCACCAAGCACAACAAAATGACTTGAACCAAGGAAAATGCCAAGCAATGGCACAAAGGAAACCTAAACACAAGCTCTAGATATGCAATATCACAAGATAAATGCATAAACTCTCACATTTCATAGCAAAACACATGTAGAAGCCAAGAAATCATATATAGGTAAGTAAAATAGGTTTTGTAGAGCATGGGTTACCTCTTGAAGACCAAAAGACTCTTCTTACACCACAACAAGCTCTCCACTAAGCTCACTAGCCAAACCCACTTCAAGATCAAACCAAAAGATCATAAAGATCCAACCTTTAAGAAAAAGACAACTAAGATGGAACCAAAAAGACTAGACAAGCTTAGATCTTACCCTTCTAGATGCCAAAATAGAGGAAAGATTGAATTTTGGAAGCAAAACTTGGAATCTTGACAAAGGCTTCTTTTGGCTTGAAGAACAAGCTACTCTTGTTTTCTAGAGAGAAGGTAGAGATATTTTCTAGGAAATGTAAGGGAATGAAATGAAGAAGTCTTCTAGGTTTAGGTTACAAAACTAGCTCTTGGTGAAAAGACAAGGATACCCTTACTAACTTTTAGAAAGTGTAAGGAACAAGGGAACTCCTCTCAAAGCACAAGGTACAACACCACTTAAAGATTGACTAGTCAAATACTAGTCCTTGAGTATCAAAAATCAGGATTTTAGGAATCAATTCCTCAAAAGAAATAGAATTAATTACTCAATTAATTCATGGTTTGGAGTGTGGATTTTTGGGTTGTCACAATATATATATATATATATATATATATATATATATATATATATATATATATATATATATATATATATATATATATATATATATATAATTTGTTATATCTACAAAATCTTTACCATTAAGGTTGACAAGATAGTGTGATGATTATTCTTTCTAACATAAATGAGAACATCTTTTTATAGTAGTTGAACATACTTACTACAAAAATTTTCTCTCTCTCTCTCTCTCTCTCTCTCTCTCTCTCTCTCTCTCTCTCTCTCTCGGTTACCGTTTTTTATTGGAATAAATTTAGCACTCCTTGTATTATTATTTCAGGAAAATTGGTATCAGTATATCCAATTTTGGCGCTACAAAGCAGACAAACCGGATGGATAATATAGAACCTAAATCAACTATCAGTTAGGTCAAAGGTTGAAACTCTTGGAATTTTCAAAATAACCCTCTATTCTTTAATGATCTAAAATAATAACAAGAGGATATTTTTGTAAAAGGCCCCTCTCCACCAATCGGCCAACAGTCACCATTCTCCACTCAAAACATCAAAGCTTTCATCTTCTCA